CTTTTGCACCCAGCTGCAAAGACAGACATAGATAGATAGATAGATAGATAGATAGATAGATAGATAGATAGATAGATAGATAGATAGATAGATAGATAGATAGGCAGGCAGGCAGGCAGCATAGATGGATGATAGACAGACAGACAGACAGACAGGATAGATCAGTGGTTCTCAACCTGTGGGTCGGGACCCCATTTGGGGTCGAATGACCATTTCACGGGGATCACCAAACCATGCTGTCCGCCATTTTTTTCCCTTTTCCCTAGCTGTCCTACTCCCTCTTATTGGTGGCCACACCCACTTGGGGGTCACCACAACATGGGGAACTGTATTATGGGGTCACGGCATTAGAAAGGTTGAGAATCACTGGGATAGGTAGGTAGATAGGTAGGTAGGTAGGTAGGTAGGTAGGTAGGTAGGTAGGTAGGTAGGTAGGAGGTAGGTAGGCAGGCAGGCAGGCAGGCAGGATAGATGGATGATAGAGACAGACAGACAGACAGACAGACAGGATAGATAGATAGATAGATAGATAGATAGATAGATAGATAGATAGATAGATAGATAGATAGATAGATAGATAGATAGATAGATAGATAGATAGATAGATAGATAGATAGATAGACAGGAGATGAGAAAGAGAAAGAGAGAGAGAGCAGCACAAGCCATTGTATGCAGAGATGCTTCTGGATTCAGTTCCCAAGATCTGCAACTTTAAACAAAAAATAATATTTGGCCTGAGCTGGGATTCCACTGACCAAGGCATTGGAAAATACAAGATTAGCTGCATCAAGGCTTAGATAAAAGGACTTCATCAAGTTCTGCTGAAATACAGTGAAGATACCATAGTAACTTGCACATAAAAGTTCTGTTCACACAATATGTTTGTTGCTTTAATTGACCCTTTTTCTGGGTTTGCATACCATGATGAACCATCAACTACTGTAAATGAACAAGCAACAGGCTAAATCAGAGACACACTAATTAGACAAAAACTAATCCAAATTAGAATTGACAAAATTTGGTATGTTGTGTCAATGCATCTGCTCGGTCCTTAAATAATCGGGGGAAGAATGGTGTGCAAACGCACTCCTACAGGGTCATTCTAAGATACACAATATGATTTATAAGCCACAACTCGCTAAGCCAAAATCAAACACACCCTATTCTGCCTTGCATCCATGCATATATTCAGCTACAATTTGTACATTGTTTTTCCTAAATGGGGTGTAGCACAACTACAATAATAGCTTCCTCGAAGATTTAAGCAAAATCTCTTTCTGGTAAAACTGTTTACCGTGCTATCTCACAATAATCCTGCAAAACACGAGTAGTTAATTCAAAGTCATCTAACGGCTCAGTTGGAATCTGAACATAGTTTTTCTGTATTATTGCCCATGTGTCTTGCTAGTTCCTTTTTTATATTTGCCCATCAAATAAGCCACAAGAGCAATTCTCAAGATAAAACTCTTCTTTATCTTCTTACTGAAATTATGCGATGCACGTCCATGTGTTTGTAGTGTGTGTGTGTGTGTGTGTGTGTGTATTTGTACAAGTAATTCTCAACTTACGGCCACAATTAGGATCAGAATTTCTGCTGCTAAGCAAGGTGGTTGTTAATTAACTTTAGCCCAGTTTTACAACCTTTTTTTTTTTGAAACGGTAAATGAATCACTGCAGTTGTTAAGTGAATCACACAGTCCAGCTTGCCCCACTGATTCTCTTTGCCAGAAGCTGGCTGGGACTCTCCCACTGTGGTAAATACACACTGGTTGTCAAGCAGCCAAATTTTGATCATGTGTCTGTGGGGGTGCAAGGTCTGGTTGTAAGTCACTTTTTTCCGTGACTTACATTGTGACTTCAAATGGTTGCTAAATGATTGTAAGTTGAGGACTACCTCTGTATGTGTATATAGTATAGTGTGTGTGTGAGAGAGAGAGAGGGGGGGGGGAGAGAGAGAGAGACAGAGAGAGAGAGACAGAGAGAGAAATGAGGAGAGCCTGTGGCCTAACATGCAAGCTGCCCAGGTTCGAATCTCAGATAGGTATGGCTAGCTGATGAGAGCTAAATAGCTTGAAATAGTTATACTAGTCTCCCTTTAACTCTTTGTCGGCAAAATCTAAATTTAACATAAAATAGTTTGTTGCAGTAGTGTCTGCCTGCATGATAAACAATGCTCCTAAGCAATAAAATAGATTGCTTTGTAGACCGGGTGTTCTGATTTCATCCTGGTGATCACCTTTATTTATTTCACATTATATGTATACCCAGGATTTGTGTTTCTAATGTTATTAAGGATATATATATATCTAATAGTAAAGTTGGAAGGGACCTTGGAGGTCATCTAGTCCAACCCCCTGCTCAGGCAGGAAACCCTATACCATTTGGGAACAAATGCCTGTCCAGTCTCTTCTTAAAAACTTCCAGTGTTGGAGCATTCACCGCTTCTGGAGGCAACTCCTCAACTTACAACAGTTCATTTAGTGACTGTTCAAAGTTACAACGGCACTGAAAAATGTGACTTATGACCGTTTTTCACAGTTATGACCTTTGCAGCTTCAAAATTCAGAGGTTTGGCAACTGATTCATATTTATGATAGTTGCAGGGTCCCGGGGGCGGGGGTCATATAAATCACTTTTTGCAACGTTCCGACAAGCAAAGCCAGATTCACTTAACAACCGGGTTACTATCTTATCAACTGCAGCGATTCACTTAACAACTGTGGCACGGGAGGTCGTAAAATGTGGCAAAACTTACTTAAAAAACATCTACAAATTTTGGACTCAATTGGGCTCGTAAGTCGAGGACTACCTGTACGTGTGTGTGTGTGTGCATGTGTAATATTGCATCTATATAAAAGCTACAATTACGATCTAGAACAGAATTTGTTGGTAGAATGCCCTATTCACGTATTAGCTAGGTTCACATCATGAAGCTAAGCTAGCAGGCAATCTTCTAGTTTTATAACAGAATAACTGAGTTAGAAGGGACTTTGGAGGTCTTCTAGTCCTACCCCCTCCAGGAGACCCTATATGGTTGAGTACAATACATGAATCCAGATGCTGAGGCTTATTTAACAAGCTGTTATTAGAATAAACTGTATATTATTAGCATCACATATTAATCCAGTTACTGAGATTCACTCCTGATAAGTGAACGCATATAAGGAACAGTGCCTTTTCCAGCAATTGCCGTGAATAGGCTGCAGATCAAAGTGGGCCTACTTGGAAGTAAGGTCAATTGAGTGGGATGTCGTTTGAGAAGGTAGGGCTGTAAGTGGCTTGACAGGTTGGGAAACAGAAAATCTCTCTTCTGTGCAGAATTGATTTTAATTCAAAGCCAAAACTCTGCCTTAAATAAATCATTCTGCTTTCGTTTTCTGTACTCCACTCACTTAACTGAGATTTTATAAACCTGATTATTTTATTTTTCCTATGGTCGCCGCCACATTCAGAAACAGAACAACTATGCAAAGTACATCAATCCCAATTAAAATTTAAACATTACAAATATGCTATACCCACATGCACATCAAAATAATAATATTTTAAAGCGAAATAAGCAGCTAAGACGCAATTAAAGAGCTGCTTCTAGATGACATTGCAAAATGGAAACAAATACCAACTATTAGGGTTGCAGACTTGTTTATATCTACCAGCAGAAAGGTCAGCTACTTCTCAAGGGCCTTTTTCTGACTATTTTGAAAGGTCTGGTGTACAGAAACCATTTCATCTATCACCGTAAAATTTGCAAAATTCCATCCTCCCAAGTTTTAAGATTGCTATCTCTCCATTCGACCAGAATTGCTCGTACAAAAGAGACTTATCTAGTAAAAGAGAACTCAGATCTACATTTAGCTCTAGAAAAGATTCACCAATGCCTTGGAGGAATCTGAAAGAGGTTCCCAGTAGAGCACAGAAGGTCATCATTGATTAGACGTTGTCACCCTTTTTGCATCCATTATTTTTTTTAATGCAAATAGCATGTCTAAATTCTCTGAGTAAAAACAATACATCAAGTTCATTGGTTTTGCAACTTTCCTATCCTTAATAGAAGAGGTTTAAGCAGACGGCATGAAAACAATACAATATAGTATATAATGCACTTAAAGAATGGCATCGGGTTAAACATAAACCAACCTTAAAACCTCTCAAGAAAAGGCTTTGCTTTTCATTTTCAGTCTTTCAAATTACCTGTTTGTTGATGCAACTTGTTTGTGAAAGGGAACGGAGCGGTATGTTAAAATAATTTCCCTGTTAGTGTTAGAAATAAATGGTCTATATTCTCTGCATCTAATGCACCTTTCTCTTTCTAGCAGGAGGGAGGGAGGGAGGGAGGAAGGAAGGAAGGAGAGAAAGAGGGAGAGAGGAAAGGAAGGAAGAAGAGAACGAGAGGGAGAGAAGTAAGGAAGGAGAGAAAGAGAGGGAGAGAGGGAAGGAAGGAAGGAAGGAGAGAAAGAGAGGGAAGGAAGGAAGGAGAGAAAGAGAGGGAAGGAAGGAAGGAAGGAAGGAAGGAAGGAAGGAAGGAAGGAAGGAAGGAAGGAAGGAAGGAAGGAAAAGGGAGGGAGGGAGGGAGGGAGGGAGGGAGAAAGAAAGAAAGAAAGAAAGAAAGAAAGAAAGAAAGAAAGAAAGAAAGAAAGAAAGAAAGAAAGAAAGAAATGTTGGTGGCACTGCACTCGCTCCTTAAGATCAGCACACAACACACTTGTAGATATTAATTCCACGACAACACATCCCTAGACCAGATCAAAATAGCTAGATTGTCTTGGATATATTTCAAACCTGGGATTTGGTAAACCCCCCCCCCACACTGCCTAACCCTAACTGTTTGGGACAATCCTGTTTTCCTGCCCTCCTCTCACCACTTCAGTTGCATTTTGCCAATAACAGTCAACTGGTTCCCCCCCCCCCACACACACACACCAGTTCAAAAACAGGCGGAGGGCGATTTAAACAGCCTCCCCCTCCCAGAGAAAAAAATGCATGGCCAGCAGAGAACATACCTTCCGTGGTCCTTTCTCTTCCCTTCCACTTTCTTTGCCTTTGCCCACCCGTGGTGCTTCTTCCCATCACCTGCAGCCCATCCGGTGCTCTTCAGCCGTCAGATCTGCCTGTACTTTTCTGCCCTTCGCCTCCTTCCTGCTCCCGGCTCCCACCGGTGCCTCCTGTTATTTATTCTGAAGTTTTCCCAGTGTACAACAAGAATGCCATCTTTTCTCAAATCACTCCCCTCCGCCGAAGTAACATTTACAGGAAGCAATATTCTCCAAAGCTATGAAGCATGCATTGCCCTAAATTACATCGCCGTTGCCTGCTCGGAGCTCGCACATTTTTGAATACGAAAGCTCCCAGGGATTCTCGTTTCTGCACCGGGAGTGTATCGGCTGCTTCAAAACATTTTCTAACCCAGACACCGAAGTGCCAGCCTTGTCGACCTCATGCTAATCCTAGGCTGGGTGGTGGTTCTTGAGGGAAAGCATGCAAAAAATGGTAGCAGACCATCAACTCTGACCCTTTTCTCTTAACACACGAGACTCCTAAATTCCAGAGGGAATGGGTGAACTCTGACCTGTTTAAAATTAGCTTTGTTTAATGCCTGGTGGGGTGACTCAACAAGCCAATTTCTTTTCTCTCATCCAGAGAGAGGGGGGGAGGGAGGGAGGGGGGGGGGAGAGGAAGAAGGAGAGAGAGAGAGAGAGAGAGAGAGAGAGAGAGAGTGTGTCTTTTTCCTTGCTCCCCGAACCTCTCCATTTCAGAGAACAATGCAACACAACATCCATAAAGAAGTAAATAAAAATGACCAAAGCAAAGCTGGGCTCTAGGTAGGCTTTTCAACACACTCAGCTCTTTATGCTTAGAATCTTCCTTTCATCTTCATGTTTAATTTACAAAGGAACAAGGCTCTTCCTTTCCTTTCCTTTCTTTTCCTTTTCTTTTGTTGAGACTCTAGAAAGAGTACAGAGAAGAGCGACAAAGATGATCAGGGGACTGGAGGCTAAAACATATGAGGAATGGTTGCTGGAATTGGGTATGTCTAGTTTAACGAAGAGAAGGACGAGGGGGGACATGATAGCAGTCTTCCAATACCTCAGGGGCTGCCCCAAAGAAGAGGGAGTCAAGCTATTCTCCAAAGCACCGGAAGGCAGGACAAGAAGCAACAGATGGAAACTAATCAAGGAGAGAAACAACCTAGAAATAAGGAGGAATTTCCTGAAAGTGAGAACAATTAACTAGTGGAACAACCTGTCTCCAGAAGCAGTGAATGCTCCAACACTGGAAGTTTTTAAGAAGAAACTGGACAGCCATTTGTCCAAAATGATATAGGGCAGGGGTAGGCAACCTTGGCTCTTTTATGACTCGTGCATTTCAACTCCCAGAATTCCTGAGTCAGCATAGCTATGCTGACTCAGGAATTCTGGGAGTTGAAGTCCACGAGTCATAAAAGAGCCGAGGTTGCCTACCCCTGGTATAGGGTTACCTGCCTGAGCAAGGGGTTGGACTTGATGACCTTCAAGGTTCCTTCCAACTTTATTATTATTATTGTTGTTGTTGTTGTTGTTGTTCCTTCCTTCCTTTTCTTCACACACACAATCAACTTGACATGATCAAAGAATGCCAGTGTGGAGGGAGGGAAAACCCCTACAAGACAGCCTCATGCTGGTTAGATTTTCTGAGAATGCCAACATAACTGCCATGAATCTTTGAGGAATGTGCAAATATAGAAAGAGACACCCGTTTGCTTCCAATCCGGGTCCAATTCAAGGTGCCATCCAAAGGTGAATGAGGTGCACCAGTTCTCCCATCCCTCTCTAAAAATTCTCTGGGCTTCTAAGACCAGGCAATGGGGCCGCCAGCCTCTCCAGAGCACTGGGTTAACTCAAGGCCATCTCTCACATTCACACTACGATTTAAAAAAAAAAAACTACAGCTAGCATGCCCTCAAGGCACCTGCCCAAAACCCTTTAAACCAAGACAGGGGTGTCCAAACTTGGCAAGTTCAAGACTTGTGGACTTCAGCTCCCATGCTGGCTGGGGAATTTGGGAGTTAAAAATCCACAAGTCTTGAATGGGAGTTGAAGTCCACAAGTCTTAAAGTTGCCAGGTCTGAAGGCCTCCTGCTCTAAGAAAACAATGGCCAATATTTACAGACACAGTCGAGATATAGAAAAGATACGGAAGAATATGGAATTCAAGGGATACCACAACAATTGGATATATTGATAGGTACAGGAAAAAAAATTATAACAAAAGCATATAAACACTTATTAGAGGTAGAAATGGAAAAAGAAATAGGGGAAGGTTCAATGATAGCATGGGCACAGAATGTTGGTCGAAATATAAACTTAGAAGAATGGGGAAAAGTATGGAACGAAAACTGCAAATTAACACTATCGACTGCATGTAAAGAAAATCAGTATAAAATGCTTTATAGGTGGTATCTAACACCGGCGAGATAGGCTAAGATGTACCGTAATTTCCGGCGTAAAGACGACTCGGCGTATAAGACGACCCCCAACTTTGGAACCGATTTGCATGCTTTAGAACAGTGGTTCTCAACCTGTGGGTCGGGACCCCATTTGGGGTCGAACGACCATTTCACAGGGGTCGCCAAACAAGGCTGTCCGCCATTTTTCCCCCTTTTCTTTGGCCACGCCCCTGGCACCCGGTGATGTATAAGTGGTTGGGGGTCACCACAACATGGGGAACTGTATTATGGGGTCGCGGCATTAGAAAGGTTGAGAACCACTGCTTTAGAAAGTTGTCTTATACGTCGGAAAATACAGTACACAAATATGAAACCGGATTGTTGAAAGTGTAAACATAAGGATGGAACATTTTATCATATGTGGTGGCAATGCCCTAAAGCAAGGAAATACTGGGAACAGATAAGGAGATGGCTACAGGAGATAACAGGAGAATAAATTGAATTTAAAGCTGAATTATTTTTATTAGGAATAATAAATCAAAAGATAAAGAAGCAACTCCAATGTATCATTGTACACACAGTAACAGCAGCACGTATTGTCTATGCTCAATGCTGGAAACTTGAAAATATACCAGCTAATGATATGATTATTCATAAGATATTAGAATGTGCCAAGATGTATAAGCTTACACTAGAAATGAAAGGCAAGGAAGAAATAGAATTTTATGAGGTGTGGGATAAGTGGTAGAATTGGTTAGAACAGAGAAACAAAAATGTATAGTATAAATGTAAATAACTGCAAGAGATACATGACACAGTACTGTTAAAAAAAGTTTAATGTTTTGTAAATTGGAAAAATTAAAAATTAAAAGAAAAAGAAAAAGAAAAAAAGAAAACAATGGCCAAGTGCTCAACTTGATGTGCCAAATCTAACTGACTTGTTCCCAATCTTCAGTCTCCCCACTTGTTCTCCGTTGTCCCTACAGCCCTCTCTGACCACAGCTGTGGACTGCCGAGAACTGTAGTTTTGGTGTCCTGCTGATCTGAGGCAAGAAAGACACAGAAACTAGAGAGAAAGGAATAAAGAGGGCTTTAATCTATTTTAAAAGCAAAGTGGTCCATCTAAAAATCCATCGATGGCATCTTCCACCAGCAAAGCTTGCTAAGATGTTCCAGAACAATTCGCCAACATGCTGAAAATGTAAAAAAGTACATGGAACATATTATCATTTATGGTGGACATGCCCAGTTGCGAAAAAATATTGGACTACAATAAGAGGATGGATTGAAGAAATAATAGACCAACCCGTAGACTGGAAACCAGAGATCTTTTTGCTGGGTATTCTAAACAGAAAATATAGTAAAGAAATATGGTACTTAATTTTACATATAATAACGGCGGCAAGAATAGCATATGCACAGTGCTGGAAAAATGAGAATATACCATCAGAGGAAGAAGTGATAAGAAAAATCCTGGACTGTGCTGAGATGGACAAATTAACAAAAGAGATTAAAGAAAAGGAAGACACAGAGTACTATCTAACATGGAACAAGTGGTATGACTGGTGGGAGACTAGAAATAATAGAGGAGAATAAATATGGAAAGATCAAAAGTGAAAATATGTGTATAATAATGTATAATAATAATAATATGAATTATTCTTTGTAAGAAGTAGAGTATGAAGGAAGAAAAAATGTAAATAAGAAACAACGGGGCAATAAGGACAAATATTCTAAAGAAGAATAAGGGGGAGAAAATAATAGAAGATTAACGTTACGTAATCACTGTTTAAAAAAAAGGGGAGGAGTATATACTGTGTATGTATGTGTGTTATGTTTCGTTTCGTTTCGTTGGTTTAAAAATTAAAAAAAAAATCCATCGAGGAAAGACAAAACCTTGCCTATATTGCTATCACAGCTTCTCTTCATGCAGCCACTGCCTTTCCCCAAAACAGGAAGGATCTTAACTCCTATCAAAATACAAGTAGTCCTCCACTTACGACGACAACTGAGCCCCAAATTTCTGATGCTCAGCGAGACAGTTGTTCAGTGACTTTTGCCCCATTTTACAACCTTTTTGGCCACGGTTATTAAATGAATCGCTGCAGTTGTTAAGTTAGTAACATGGTTGTGTTAAGTGAATCTGGCTTCCCCATTGACTTTGTTCGTTCAGAGGGTCGTAAAAGGAGATCACATGACCTCGGGACACTGCGACCGTCGTAAATATGAGTCAGTTGCCCAGCATCTGTATTTTGTTCCGGTGACCATGGAGATGCTGCAATGGTTGTAAGTGTGAAAAACGGTTGTAAGTCACTTTTTTTTAGTGCGGTTGTAACTTTGAACACTCACTAAACGAATGGGTGTAAGTCAAGGACTACAGGTATTCCCAGTGTTTGCTCTGGTGAGCTTATAATAATAATAATAATAAAATTGGAAGGGACCTTGGAGGTCATCTAGTCCAATCCCCTGCTCAGGCAGGAAACCCTATACCATTTCAGACAAATGGCTGTCCAGTCTCTTCTTAAAAACTTCCAGTGTTGGAGCAGGTTGTTCCACTGGTTAATTGTTCTAACTGTCAGGAAGTTTCTCCTTAGTTCTAGGTTGCTTCTCTCCTTGATTAGTTTCCATCTGTTGCTTCTTGTCCTGTCTTCAGGTGCTTTGGAGAATAGCTTGACTCCCTCTTCTTTGCGGCAGCCCCTGAGACACTGGAACACTGCTATCATGTCCCCCCTCGTCCTTCTCTTCATTAAACTAGACATTCCCAATTCCAGCAACCATTCCTTACTTTCAGGTGAGAACATCATCTCTTTCCCAGAATGGAGGAATGGCTGTTGACAATGTTGGAGTTTCTGAAAATGGATAAATTAACTTCTTTGTTCAGAGGAAAAAAAATATATTCACATTTATGGCTGACTGGAAACCCCTTATAGATGTTTTGCATGAAGCAACACACAAAAAAAGTAATTATGGCTTGTGGTTTTGATGATTAAGGGGGGAAAACTGGATAATGGAAAAAGTGAGCTTTTTTAATAATCGCAGAGCAAGAGATAATTTTGTAATTGTACT